ATAGTTCCTCCAACAAGACCACACCTCCTAGTGTTGCCACTCCCCATGAGCTTATAGGGGCCATTTTCATTCAAACTACCACAGAAGCTGTTATGATGTGGGGCACGGGGGGGGGGGGACGGGGACACATTGGCAGATCCCACAGTAAGTGAGGGAAGTTTTATTGGGGGAAGGGAAGGAGAGAGAGAGAGAGAGAGAGAGAGAGAGAGAGAGAGAGAGAGAGAGAGAGAGAGAGAGAGAGAGAGAGAGAGAGAGACAAAGACCCCCTGCCTCTTCAGAGGAACAGTGGGAAAGAGAGAGCAGGAGTAGGCGGAGCTTGTCTCTTAAAGGGATCTTTTGCATCTGCACAGAGCCAGGGCACTGCTTGCCATGTGCAGAGGGGTGACACTCTGTCAGGTCCCCGAGGTGGGGGGTGGCAAGGTGTGCCTGAATGCTAGCAGAATCTAAGGGTGGAGCCCTCACCAATGCAGTCTGTGCCCTTAGGAGAGAAGTCCGGAGAATGTTCAGTTTGGGGGCCACTTGATACTACAGCCGGAGGCTGTTATAACCTAGAAGAGGGCTCTCTTTGGAAACAGACTGATGTCCCCCTGACTTTGAACTTTCACTCTTCAGAACTAAGAAGCAGACTTCAGCTGTTGTAAGCCACCCAGTCCGTGGCAGTTTGTTCCTGCACCCTAAATGGACGGAGATGGTGTCTTGGCATCAGAGTCCACGGACTGAGAACCTGGGGCGTCCTTGATTCTTTTGCCACCTCCTCTCTCTTGGTCAGCAGCAGCACGCACTTCAGTGCTTCCATGAGAACCGCTGCATGCACTGAGGGGGAGCTGATACTCCTGGTACACACAGCTGGGTGTTTTACCATTGACCTACAGGGATGCTATTTGCGCCTTCAGAACTGCAGAGAAAAAGGCCTGCATTGGTGCCATACCAAAAGCCAGATAAAGCAGCAACATGGAAGAGTAAGTGTGAAATCAGTGTGGCATGGAACAGAGACAGAATTCTGTGGCATGACAATGGTGTTTCAGATCAAAGACACATCTGTTTATAAAAAAGAAGGCCCAGGGAATGCCTGAATCCAGAGGCCTTATTAGGGGACTGGTGAGCATCTTCGAGGGCCCTCAGTCCCGGCCTAGATGGACACTCTCTTCCTGAGTGGCAGCAGGTGGCTCCATGGAGACACAGGGCACAACACAAATGCCAGTATGGTGGCCTCAAGAGCTTTCTTGTGCTGGCAACTGGAGATTCTAGTGTATTAAGAGAAGAAACCTTTCTGTGCACTAGACACTCAGCCCACGGGGCAGACACACTGCAGGGTCCCCTCTGCCTTTTATCTCTTCTACTTGATTTTCTAGGTTCTTCTCTTAAGATTTTGTTTTTCATTGTCTTAAGAAATACCACATGTCTCCTTAAAGCTGCATACTCTTAACAGACATAAAGAAAAAATGAGACTAAGGTTGGCATAGGTGTTTCTTCCGCTACTCTGGAACTCTGAGCAATTACAGTGTAACCAAGTCCTAGTCTAGTCGCTCCTGGTTTCTCTGTTCAGTTTCTCGTAAGTTCTTCCCCATGTTCAGCGCCCCATGGGCTGCAGACAACCGTGCCTTTTCTGGACATTTTGGCAAGGGTTGTTTTCTTCCATTCTTGGGATGTGTAGCAGAACCAGAGGAGAGCTGCTGAATTCTTGAGTCTCCTGAAAGTTATTGCTATGTTGATTTGATTTAAAACTTATTCCTCCCCTCTCTAGGACTCTACCAACTGACAACAAAAAAAAATCAGATTTAGTAAGCTGCCATTACAGAGAAAGGGAGAAAGTGCTTGGTATTATAGACTTGTATGTGAAGCCTAACAAAATTTATACTTTTGAAGTTCATAATCTACTGCACTTGAACTGTAGTATGATGCGTGGGACACAGAAGCACTTGAAATACATGAGCTTTTCTTCCCTCTAGAATAGCATGGACTTTGAAATTGCAAACCTAAGCCAAGACATGCTTAAGAATTGCTGGAATAACTTCTTAGGAAACGTTCTGATGCTGGGACTCTCCATCCTTGACCATGAACTTAGACTCTCAGAACTGAGGCCTCGGTGATAGTATTTTTCAAATGCTCTCAGGTGATGCTGGTGTGCATCTTAGCCTGGAGCACTGCACCAAGGACAATGCAATTGGCTCTTACTTTGCATTGTACTTTTTGAGCACAGGCCTTTAGTTAGACTTCATATTATTACATCGGACGCATTTGTTTTGCATTGAATTTGATGAGGATTAACACCTATCTTTTCAATAGTGTATGCACTGTCTCTGACTTAAGCCCTGTTTTGTTTTTAAAGTATTCACTTTTAAAATTATGTGCAATGTGTATCTGTGCTGAGGTATGTGCATGTGAGTGTTGGTACGCAAGGAGGCCAGAAGAGGGCATTAGGCCTTTGGAGTAAGAGTTATAGGCATCTGTGAGTTATCAGATGTGGGTGTTGCAACTGAACTTGGATGGCTTAAGCACTGAGCCCTGCAGTCCCTACACTTTAAAACAAAACAAAATCCTTGCCCCCGCCAAAGTCCAAGCATACATAAGAACAGGACCTTTAGGATGTGATCAAATAAGATTCAAGTCATATTCCCTAGCAAACCTTGTCTAGGCAAGGGAATGTGTAGGCATGTTTGTGTTGGAGAATTACATATCAACCCCCCTACCACACCCTTAAACTTGGTATTGTCCTGGCTGAGAATCTGAGAACCTTCTGGTATCCTGTGTTGCCTCTGCATAGTTGCTCACATGAGTGAAACTTGAAGGACCACTGCAGCCCTGTCCTCTCTGAAGGACAGGGGTGTGCCTACCTGAATTTCCTATGTATCCAAGCTCTTAAATCACAATCCTGGATGCTTACTGGGAGCATCAAAATCAGAGGTTCTCAACCTGTGCGTCTTGACTCCCTTTGGGGTCGAACGACCCTTTCATAGGGGTTGCATATCAGATATTTACATTATGATTCATGACAGTAGTAATGTTGTAATTTTGCGGTTGGGGGCTACCACCTGATGAACTGTATTAAAGGGTTGTTGCATTATGAGGGTTGAAAACAACTGATCTAGATGGATGTCCACCTGGGTTGCTAGCTTCCTTACCAGCTCTTCTCTGCTGACCTTTGTCAGTGTGTTCCCAGGGTGGAGACATGCCCAGACACATAGTCATCTTGTGAGCAGAGGAAGGACCATGTAAACCAATCTTGCACTAGCTGGAGAAGAGTGGGCAACCAGTGTGTCTGGTCAGAAAAATCTTCCCCTCTCTCCTCCTTTCACTTCTTTATCCTCTTCCAGCACTACCCACCGCCAGCCTCTCTCCCTACCAGGAATTAAAATGTTTTGTTTGGAAATAAGTCTACTGTACGACATAGCCAGCCAGGTGAGCTTGAATGTGAAGATTGGTGTCCAGAGGCACCGGAGAAAGCCGAAGCCATTTCTATTGTACTGGGAGTCATGGGGAGACCAATCAAATCGTCATCTCCTGTATGAAATATTCAGTGTACAAGGTTATTAACATATAAAAGACTTATGGGCAAATCACTTTTAAGTATGACAAGGTCTCTAAATGTTCTTGGGCTGAGCACAGGGGAAAAAAGGGGGATTTGGGGGGTTGTTTATCAGCAGCGCCATGAGGGAGGCTTACTTCTTCCCTTAAATCTGGCTGAATATGCATGTGTGCACGGCATGATAATGACAGTCACGCCAGCCGGGAGATTAGTTGGGCTTTTGCTTCAGTAATTCCAGCATGCTAATTCAAAGGACAGGAGGAGGCAGGGGAGGCTAGGCACCATCTCCCCTGTACGCTAGCCTCTGTGCTGTGCTGTCCAGGACAGCCGCACTGGGAACCCTCAGAGTGTTCAAAGCCTTGTGTTCAAAGCTGGTCCTCCTGTTCTAATTGTGGGATAAACAACGAGAAGAAGGCATGCAACTCAGTGAGTAATTGCAGCTTCACAGGCATCCACCCCTTCCTCTGAGGGCAAGAATGGTACTGGTCCTCTATGTAGGATCCCTGTATGTCCTGCTGCTGTTTACGGGGGAGTGGCCACACAGGCACATATTTGGCCAGCAATGAGAAGCTCTGTGGGCACACGGAACTGCTGCTGCCCTTCTTAATGGGCACCGTGGATGTTAGACCCTGGCAGTCTGGGTTAGAGTCCCATCTTTGTGGCTTACTAGCTTTGCAACTCTGGACAAATCCTTTGTGCTCCCTGCACTTCAGTTTTCCTACCTACAAAAAAAAAATGTCAGTTGGGTGTGGTAGCCCACCTGTAATAATTGCTCCAGAAGCTGGCTAGCAAGACTAGCCATATCTGTGAACTCTTGGTTTGGTTAAAAGAGCCTGCCTCAATGAATAAGGTGAATAGTGATCCAGGATGATTACCAGTATTAACCTCGGGCTCCCACATGGACATGCACACATGTACACATGCATCTACACATCATATGTGTGCACACATGCATACCATGAGCATGCACAGGAAAATGGAAGAAGAAAACAAGGAATTGGCCAATATTTTTATTGTGAACCTGTGCTTTGAAGTCAGGATGACAACCTTGAGGAGTGATTGTGAGCCTCAAGTGCATCTTAACTACAGTTTCTTTACTAACAAACAGCCCCTGCTCTGTAAGTTGTGTTATTTTCCATGTGGAGTTCCAAGCTTGGCAATAACAAAGGATATTGTTTACTCTGTTCCTAGTCCTCCACCTCCCTGGAGTTACGTCCCCAGCCAGCTCATGTCCCTGTGTATGTCTTTACATATACGTGGATTGGCCTTGCACTCTCATGTTGAACGGACATCTCAGTGACTAAAAAAGGATGTTTTCAGCTGGGTATTGGTGATGCATGCCTTTAATCCCAGCACTCGGGAGGCAGAGGCAGGTGGATCTCTGTGAGTTTGAGGCCAGCCTGGTCTACAGAGCGAGTTCTAGGACAGCCTCCAAAACAATACAGAGAAACCCTGTCTCAAAAAACCAAAAAAAAGGATGTTTTCTTTATTCTTGAGAATTTTATGCATTTATACAATGAAACATGATCATGTCCACTATCGTTTCCCTCTTCCAAGCCCCTCCACATCCTCCACCACACATCTGCCTCCCAACTTCATGCCATCTTCTTCTTTTTTCCTGGTAAACCACTAAATCCATTTAGTGCTGTCCATCTTTAGCTGCATGTGTGCCCCACAATGAAGCATGGGAAATCTATCAGTGACCACACCCTCCAAAAAGAATGAGTTTTCCTTTCCTAGCAGTCTTTCCTTGCCCACCAATCCTTTCGTGCCCCCTTTGCTCCAGGCACCACCTTCAGGATTGTCATTGTCTGGGATTCAGAGTTGAGTAATGCTTTCTTCTGGACATGACACAGCTATGGCATAGAAAACCACCCCAGTAGCTGGAGACATTTCCTACATTTTTGGAAGATAGAGAAGAGAGAGGCAACATCAATTAAATATTTAAACAGTGTTTTAACTAGTGTGTGTGTGTGTGTGTGTGTGTGTGTGTGTGTGTGTGTGTGTGAGTGTGTGTGTGAGTCTCGTTGGTGAAGCATTTGTGTGTTATCTTATAAGTCACAGTCAGGATAATAAGACTCTGAGAGGTGAGGCTACTGGCCTGATGTCACACATTGAAGTAGGGCTTCAACGGGAATTTGAAATTACTTCTCTTCTGAAATCTTGGACCAGTGTTTGTCGCTTGAGGGTCTTGAAACTTTCACAGTACACCCTCCACTAAAGCAGGAGTCTCCCACACTCCCCCAGAGTGACAAACAGCAGAGGCTTTGCCAGAATAAATCATCCACTTGGAAGATGATGGCATCTTGACAATGCCAAGTATGTAACAATCCACCCCATATATTGTTTCCAGTCACTGGTGATGCTAAGTGACTTCGGGGCATGTGCTCACGATAAGAATGCTGAGGAATTGCTTGTTCTGAATCACTGTGTGGTATATGCAGGCCTTTAGAGGTGGAGCCTAACCAAGGGAGAGCTCTAAGTACTTTTGCATTTATGTAATTTTTCTCACCCTCATCTCTCTCAGTGGTTGGAGATAGTTCTGTCTTCTAAATACTCAAATTGAGACTGGTATACAAACCTATAGGGAGCAAGGAAGATGGCTCAATGGGTGAGAACACTTGTGGTACAAGCGTGAGGACCTTAGTTCGAATCCTCAGAACCCATGTAAAAAAATCTGGTCACGGCTGTTCATAAAAGTATAACTTCATTGTTGAGGGGCAGAGATAGGTCAATTCCAGGAACCCACTGTCAGCCAGTCCAGCTGAAAAGGAGAGCTTCAGGTTCAGTGGGAGACCCTGTGTAAAGAGAATAAGGCAGAGGGTGATAGAGGCAGACACCAATGTACCCCTCTGCCCTTTGCTTTGCATGCAGAAGCATTGGGTATGCACATGCACACACATGTGCACATATGCATATGCACACACACCACCAATCACACATAACAAACTCCTAGTGAGACTTCCAGTTGTTTTTATTAAAGTCAGTGGTAGAATGCAGAATCTGGCTGTGCTTGGGAACTGACTTGTTCCTTCATTTTTTAAAGGAGCCTAACTGACAAACTAGTGAATTCATCCAGTAGGAAACTTGGAAACCTCATTGGTGCTGCAGAAGCAAGGCTGAGATTCACATCTCAGTGTGGACTTTCTGATTCTGGCCCCTTTCTGTTTCTCATGGTATTGTTGCTTGCATCTATCACTATTTGCTTCTTTTATTTTAATTTTTAAAATTTGCTATTGTGTGTGTGTCTGAGAGGGGGGAGGGGGAGGTGGGAAGGAAAGGGAGAGAAAGAAGGAGGGAGGAAGAGAGAGGGAAGAGGGAGGGGGGAAGGGAGGGAGAGACGGAGGAAGAGAGAGAGAGAAGGGGGGGTGAGCACAGGTTCATATTCCTGGAGTTGAGAAGATGGCTTTTAAGGGTTGGTCCTCATCCTCTTTGTTGAGGGTCTCTCTTGTTTATGCCATGTTGCATGTTCTAGGCTAGCTGGCATTAGGGTGACTTTTCAGTTTCCATCTCCTGTTTCACTGTAGGATGCTGGAATTATAGATGCACATCATAGAATCTGACCTTTTAAACACGGTTCTGAGGAGGCTTGGATAGCAGGTGCCTTTACCTGCTGAGCCGTCTCACTGGCCCATTTTCTTATTTTAGAACTATTTACCTCATATCTTATATGACATTAACTCAAAATACATCAGTAACCCAAATTTGAAGCATGAAATTGTCATACTTGAGGAAAATGTTGGAGGGGGCCTTTCTGACCTTTGAAGACTGCAAATGATTCTTAGGGCTTAAAATAAGAAAGTGTTCAAGAAAAATGATTGATGTGTTATTTAAAAGATGTTGCTGAGAAAGATGGAAAGACAAATCCAGACCAAACTTATTTTATTCAGTGTCATAAGCAGTATCTCCCCCCTCCATATCTAGTCACTCATTAGTAGATACATTTATTTGGTTTTCTTGTGTTAACCTTGTCTCCTCAGACCTGTTAAGCTCACTTACTTACTTCTAGTAACATTTTTGTTTATTCTTTATTATTTCTATGTAGACTCTCATAGACTGAATGTATATGTCCTTCAAAACTCATGTGTTGAAATCCTGACTTCTGCTAGGGATGTGGCTCAGTATAAGCGCTTGCCCAGATGACTGGAGGTTCTAAGAGCAGTCTTCAGTCAAAACAAAGAACTGGGAAATCCTAACACTCAGTGTGATGGTGTTGGGAGGTGGGGTTTAGAGGTTAGCGCTTGTTATTGCTGACTAAAATATCCTTGCAAGCTCATGTTTGAAATGCTAGATCCTTTGAAGGCTGTGGCATCTATGGGACTAGGTGGGGTCTAACTGGTGGAAATGGATGACTAAAGGGGGGCCTTTGAGTAGGGTGATAGCTGCCCTTGGTTTTAGCCTGTTCTTTTGGATTCATGGTCTGTTGCCATGTGAACAACCTGCCACCTCCTGCTCCTGCCACCAAGTATGGAACCACTCTGCCTACTGTCCCTGCCGTGATAGGCTGAAGTGCCTCTGAAATCATGAGACAAAACAAGCCTTTCCTTTCCAAAGCTGTCACTGTCAGATCTGGTCTCGTGACCCCAAAGTGACCAATCCGATACTTCCCCTTCGTTTGAAAGAGAAAGACTTCATAATTATCCCTACCCCTTTAGTCATGTGAGGACATGTGAAAAGAGCCCTCTATGAGTCAGAAGAGGATCCTCCCCAGATGCCAGCAGATGGTGCCTTCATTCTGGACTTAGGGTGAGAACTACATCTCAGTTGTCTATAAGCCACCTCTAGCAGCGTGCTCTTGCAGTCTTCGTGGACCGAGACAATGATTATGCCTTTTGTGAACACTGATAGCGTTTGTCTGCTTCCTTTGTGTTTTATTTCCTTCCTTGTCAGCACCTCCATCAGGATGCAACACAGGGATGGTGAGAAATTATCTCTGCCTAGCCTTTACCTGGTTAAGAAAGGTGGACCCTGCAGGCTCTTTGAGAGCCTTGTTATTACTGTTATTTTAGTTGAGAAGATTGCAACCCCTCCCCAACCTCCTCATCTCCCAACTATTCTCCTATACCTATATTACTCTGCTGAAGGTGCAGGGAGCAGGCATACACACTGCCCCTTGAAAGTCTATTTCAATGTATTTTAGAGACATTTGTTCTCTCTGTGCTGTTGACCATTCCCCTGCCTTCTGTTCTTATCTCTCTGAACTCCCCGACCCTCTAAAAACTGTGAATGCATACATTTTAAGAGCGTTAACTCCATTTTAAACAGTGCATTTGGAAAACAAACCTTTAAGAAAATGAATAGCTCCTTGCACGCCGTGTCTTTGTATCAGGGCTCTTCACGAGTGTCCTCCCTTTTAGTTGCTGTAAGAGAAAACAAGGACTTTCTGTCTTTGTTGATGAGATATTAAATAATGAACAAATTATTATTAGTGAACAGAACTGTAGGAAAGAAATATGCTCTTAAGGCTGTCAACACTGCTGTAGCCCAGCCATCAAACTGCTGCACGTTTGACAGCATGGGCAGACACTGCAAACCACCAATACGGAAGCACCCAGCTAATTGCACAAGATGAGACTTTGGGAAAAGGCAAAATCATTAGCTCAACCATGTGAGAACACTTTGAGAATCATCTTTAAAGTGCCTCTGCAATTTGTCTGGCTGATAGTGGCGCTGGTGCAGAGTCGGTCATTTTAACAGCAGCACAGTTCTGTTAACCATTGCTTGAAACTACAGTGTGCCTGTTGTGTAGATCTACTAAGGCCCTTCTTAAACAATGTTATGGATGCTCCTGTGTCTCCCATCAAGAAGGAGGACACAACATCTTAGGTCCAAAGAATCTAAAGAAGGCAACGGGAACAGAGGAACTCAAGTTACAGGATAGGGATTGTATAGTGTCACATACAGTTATAGGGACAACAAAAACAATAAATAACGCCTGATAAACATCCTCCCAGTGGACAAGGGATGCTCCACTGTGGCTGGGTTTGGAGAAGTGGAATTTTGGCAGAGGTGTGTCACACTGTGTGAGGACAAAGACAGTTGGGGGCCTGGAGAAGGAGGGGGAAAATGTGTGTTACCCTGCTCAGGAGATGATGTTAGCTGCTAAAGGAGCTCACAGCTTCTAGAACTGCCAAGAGCACCTTGGAAAAGACCAGGAAGAACTGATTGAGACTGGTGGGACTCTTCTGAAGGAAATGGTTGTGGGACTTCTTTCTGGTGTTGACTCTGGAGCTGGGGCCGAAGATTCTGGCTGGGCTAGCTGAGGTGAAGAGGAAGGATGGCTGAGAGAAGATGGACACTGACTAGAGAATAGAGTATCAACTAAGGGCAGAGATCAGGAAGTGTGTCCATGAACAACCCGTTGATGTAGAAGATGGATTTGAATTCAGGCTGGAGGTGGAGGTGCAAAAAGAATGGGTCAATGTGGTGTTAGAGAAGAAAGCCAGAGAGAAGTTCCCAAAGAGAGGCCAAAACTGTAGGAAGAGCTAATTTCCCAGAGAGGGAAAGGAAGCATAGTCACTAAGCTGCAAGAGACCCAATGACTTCCTTCATCTTCCACAGATCTTTCCTTCATTTGTTGGTGTCTTAGTCACTGTTCTATTGCTGTAAAGAGACACCATAGCCATGGTAACTCTTACAAAAGAAAGCATTTAATTGGGACTGGCTGTAGTTTCAGAGGTTTAGTCCATTATCATTAAGGCAGGAAACATGACGGCATGCAGGCAGATATGATGCTGGAGAAGTAGCTTAGAGTTCTACATCTGGATTCACAGCAGGAAGACTGAGACTCTTGGCCTGACTTGGGCTTCTGAACTCTCAAAGGCTACCCTCAGTGACATACTTCCTCCAATAAGGCCATACCTCTTAATCCTTTTAAAGAGTGACACTCTCTGTTGACTAAGCATTCAAATCTATAAGCCTACGGGGGGCATTCTTGTTTAGACCACCACAGTTGGGCACTGCCTGTTAGGAGTAGAGCATTTGCCAGGCATATGCAAGGCCCTGGGTTCAATCCCAACCTCTTGCACCAAAAGTAAGTAATAAGTCCTTATAAAAACAAGGATTCTGTGGCATGCCTTCCCGGAATACTGAGGTACAAAGCTGAATGCATCTTGAGGAAGTTATATAGGTAAGCGGAGTGACTAAACCATCCCCAATGCCACAACAGCCTGAAATGGCCACAACCAAGACAGCAGAAAAGTGAGATGACATTCAAGCCAGGTCTCTTGAGAGTCTGGAAGGTGAGTGGGGGGAGAGGGGCACAGAAAGAAACTTCCAGATAGAAAGTGGAAGCCACTTTGGGGGGCTGCTTTTCCCCCCACAGCCATCATTGTGAGCTCCTCTGCTCATAGTCTCTCAGTACAGCCTGTTTTATTTTAAATCTTAATATTTCTGCTTACAATATGTGGTTCTTAAGCTCTTCAGATAGAAGACAGCTAAATGGCAGGATGCCTCTGAGCCACAGGCTCTATGCCTGCGAGGAATCTTTGTTCTTTGCTGTGTGAGTCTAAAGGCAGCCTCAGCCACTTCACATAACCCGGTCCTTGTGAAGTCAAGATTCTGTGGGGGCAGAGAAGCCGAGGAGTCAACTGAAGACCAGGACACAGCCCAGACTCCTGATGCAACCTGGTCTAGTCAGATGGAGGTCTAATCAGCATCGGATTCACCCTGTGATGACAGAAGCCTCGGAGTCTATCTTTGAACCCTGACCTTGAAAATTCAGTTTCCTTGGAATGCCTCCAGGCATTGCCCAAAAGCTAGGGCTTCAACTTCTGGCTAGGCATCTCCCCAGTACCCGCAAACGTATGCTGCCCCCTCCGTGGGCCCCATGCCCAGGAAGCTTCCCGCCTGTCTCTTTTCTGGGCTTGCAGCCAGGCTCCAGTTCTCAAGATGCTGTGTCTTCCAGATCCTGCCTTGACTAGCTCAGTCTGCAGCCCTCGTCATCACAGCTTCCCTGTCATTCCCATGCTTTTCCCTGCAGTCATCTGTGTCCCATGTTGAACATTTGCATCAGAAAATGATTGCATTTCTATTGAAGTTGCACATGGCAGCCTTTGTCTCCACTAAAAATGACCTGGGCTGTGTCTGAGGCTGTGGAGCTAGTCTGGTAACCCCAGGGCTCTGTGGCTCGGGTAACAGTATTCAGCTTCCTCCAGCCAGGGATCCATTTTGGGCAGGCTTCTGAGGGGTGGACATCTAGGCTTGACTGGGGAAGGATCTGGGACTAACCCTAGTGCTTTGTGTGTTAGAAAAGGTACCGGGTACTTGGTACTTGGTGAAGTTGGGGAGTGGGGTGAACCCATACCCCATCCTCAAAAGGAAAAGGGACAGGAGAGACAGACATAGAAGAGTTCCTGGTGGTGTGCCAGAGAGAAAGTGGGCTGTCTGGATGGCCTTCTGGGTGAGCAGAGCACAGGACTCGGGCTGGACTGCAGTCAGGAAGGTGACAGTAGCCAGACAGTGTCTGTGGGCATATGGCATGCTTTTCCATGGGGGTTACACTTCAAACTTCTAGGCCTCCCCATAGTTCTCTGACTGGCACTGCCCCTTCTTCAGATGCCCTCCCAGATCCCAGTACCCCTGCTTCCCTGTAGGAGCAAGTAGGAGGCCCAGGTGTAAGGATTCAGGCATTATGCAGGCCTGCCTTTGTCACCTGGCAGAATGCACTCAGGAAGTACCCTGGTCAGCCCAGGTGCAAAGGACTCCTTAAAAGAAAGACCTCCACCCATATATGCTCTCTTTCCTTCTCTCTTTCTGCTCTCTCTTTTCCGCTATTCCCCTGGGACAGACACGACTTTTCCTATCTCCCTCTTCTTTTCTGTCCTCTCTGTGTCTCTTTATTTCTTTTATCTTTCCTACACTCCCCCACCCCTTCCCTTTCTAATAAGACTTCTCACTTAAGCTCTGTCTGCCTGGCATGTTTGTCTCCTGCCTCAGTCACCCTCACTCGTCATGAAATCTGCCAAGGTCTGCCATGAGCTTTTTTCCTAACGCCAGGTACTCATAAAACACCATGATGACCACACTGTCTCCTAAGTCTTCTTGGCTCCTCCCCATTGGTCTCCTGTAGAGCTGCTTATCTCTTCCATGCACTCTGACAGGGAATTGTGGGTGTTGTGGTTTTAGTTTTAAAGTTGTTGCTCTGGTCTCCCCAGCTTGATGCACACTGTTACCAAGTCACTATGACCATGCTTCCATTCTCCAAAGCCAGAAATATAATGTAGGAATAATATGTATCAGCTAGTTATATCTAGGATTCTTGGTTAAAGTAAAATTTATAGAATTGACAAGTAATTGTGTTTATTGGAAAATCCCTACATTGAGGTGTGGCTACTATGACTGTCCTGTCTCTCTTGAAGAGAATCAGGTCTCACAAATATTTGTACCTAGCAAGGAGCCTGGTGTATTGACTGGCTGGTTGAATGAATTACCTGACTCGTACAAACCCTCACATTGAGGATGATTGGTTCCATTTGGATACTGTCTTCATACATAGTTAAACATTGTAACTGGTGATTGAAGGTTTTTCAGATATGTGACATAGTAGAGGAGGCATTTTGCTCCCTGTTTTTATCTTGATAGTTATGACTCTATTTGCTATTTTGAATATTTACTTTTAAAGCCTTATCACTCTCACATTTATTTATTTCTGATTCCTTCCTCACAATAGATGTGGGTGGGCAGGCCAAGGCGGCAGCATTTTCTTCCATTCCATTTCATCTTTTATCAGCAGTTAACTATGAACGCCTTTTCTGAGTCATCAGTATTGGCCTAATGGGCTGGAACAGCCCAAGTTGAAAGGTAATTACTTACTCTGTCGCTGATAGCCCAGATGAAACCAGGACTTATTAGAACTGTAGTAATGGAAGGATCTGCTTAATGCAGATCTTTTAAGTAGTTTGAAGCAATCTCAAATTCATCTCTCTTTGCCATATGTTAAAATGTCACATCATAGTTTTAAAATTCAGGACCAGAACAGAAGTTTTGGGAGAAGCCTGCCTGTGGAAGAGTTCTTGAATCTCTCTTTGAAAAATCAGAAGCATTTGTTCATCTCAGATTACAATGTCTCCCAGAAGGGAGCCCAGCCTGCACTTGCCTGAGCTGAGCATAGCCTGGTGGTCTTGGGTGGTGGGTGGCTGAGTGCCTGCATACTGTATAGAAGGTGAGTTCTGGAACCAAATGCCTCCTCCTCTGTGTATCAGGAGCTCAGCTCACTGTCAGCCTCCACACACACAGCCATTTCTGTGAAGGTGATTCAGACATGTCTACAAAAAAGACCTTCATACTCTAAACCTGTGTTCGTGATGTAAAGTGGCTTGACCGAGGTCCTGTTAACACTTGATCAGGCCCAGGTCAGAAT